GGGGCAGTTTGGTGGCCCCACACACTACCCTCGGCTGAGGGGCACCCCCATTGCCATGGTGGGGCAGGAAGACGGGGACAGGGTTGGATGTGATCAGTATTGCAGGGGTAACTGTAGCCAAATGCTGCAGATTGGGAAAAACTCAGAGACTGCAGATTCAGGAGCTGCTGTAATAGACTGATGGAGAGATGAGGGCCTGTAGTCGGGAATCATGGGAAAGAGGAAAAGGGCTGACTTTGATTTGGTGGGGTGAGAAGGCAGAGAGTCACAGATGACTTGGAAGTTTCTGCTGTGGGTGACTTGATGGTTGGTAGCTTTATGGAGAGAAGATCTCTTGCTTCCTCATGAGGTTGCAGTTTTTTCTAAACTTTCTAGGGAGATGCTTTAATCACAAGTGAATGTGACATTGCAGCTGTGGTACATGCTATAGAGAAGAGACACATCATGCTATGAAAGAGATTTTGCTTGGCCAGGAAGGTCAGGGAACCCATTTTCTTCTGAGAAGAGCTGGAAGCTGCACAATGACTTGGAGTTTATTGGTTGGAGACTTCTGGAAAGGGCAGTGGGCTGACCTCTTTAATGGAGAATCTTACAAGGGCTTCAGCTAATGTGTCAACTGATCCCATGTATAGTAAGCTTTCCTGTTCACCTGTACTGTGTGTTTTCAGGGAAAAAAACAGCCAGAAACTGGAGAACCCAAGTGCCTGACCACACCCTACAGATAGAGAGTGTGCCATTCCCAGGTTCAGTCCCAGCTGGCATGAAGCTGTCCCCTAAGTCATAAGCTGGCTGCAAAGTTGGGTATCCTGGACTTCCCCACTCTCCTGAACTGGAAAGACTCCTGATAAAAGAAGGCACCTCTGGGTGGGAATCTGACCTAGAAACCCATGGTCCTGGCCTTAAACACTTCCTGCTCAGCTCCTCCACCCAGCCAGCATGAACAGTCCTTTGGGATACAACCGTCCTGTCCCATCCACCTGCCTTGGAAGGTCCCTTATGCTCTAGTAGCAAACTTCCCCAACAAAGAGGACTTTCTCCTTGGCTCCAATATCCTTTTCCTGAGGGTACATATCTGACTTCTGGTTGATCTATGACCTTTGATTCTTCCCAGTGCTGGATCAGAGAGGACTCTTACTGTTCTCTTCTAGAACAGAACCTCTTTCCCAGGGAATCATCCTGCTCAGTGTGCTGTATACCTGAGAACTAGACATACAGGGGTGTCTGGGTCTCCAAATGTTTTATTTCACCTTCATTCTGAAAACACGCCTCCCCAGTGGGCTCCTTCTCTCTGCTGAGGACTTAAGACTGACAGGTTTTCACAAAGTGTGGGGCATTTTGGAAGCTATAACATGATCCCCCTCTTTCTCAGTCCCCTGCCCCCATTCATCATCTCTCCAAAGTATCACAGAAACAACCAGGGCTGCAGAGGCAAGAGCCTGCCTGACTGAAAGTCCAGCATCTTAGAGCTGAAACAATGAGGACAGCTCCCAAATGAAATGTACCTTGTAAAGTGGCAAGTTCCCCATCTACAAAAATTTCTAGTGGGACCTTGGATGGCAGCCTGTCAGGGTATGGTAGAAGGATCTATGCAACAGCTGGAGTACAGATAATCTTGGTTTTACTTCCAGCAATAGACTGTGATTTTAAAAAGGTCTGTAAAGAGTGTGGGGTTGCCAGATGCAAACTTGATCACCTTCCCAGTTTTGCTGTGGGGCTGGCCTTGCCTGGGGCAGCCTTGGCCACTTGTTCACACTTCCAGTGGTGGTGGCTGAACCAGACCCATGAGAGCCACCCTGACGAAGGGCCAGGCCTCTTGAGGGATGAGGCATTTATATTCCATGGAGCTGTCGCCTTAGAGTGCTAAGAGACAACTTGGATTCTCTCATTTAAACCTTATTAAGTTGAAGAAACAGAAAGGGGCACTCGATCCAGGACTGGATCTAGGCCTGTCCAAAGCCAAAGTTCAATCACACTTGGTGCTATGGTCTGTATGTTTGTGTCTCCCCCTGCCTCCACCACACTTCACATATTGAAACCCTAACCCTCAAAGATGATGGTATTAGTAGGTGGGCTATTTGGCGGCTACTTAGGTCATTAGGGTGGGGCCCACATGAATGGGATTACAGCCCTTACCAAAGAAACCCCAGAAAGCTCCCTCGCCCTTCCACCATGCTCACGTGACCCAGAGAATTCAGCCTGCTATGAACCAGGAAGAGGACTCATCAGAATATGGCCTGATTGTGCTAGCTCATTGATCTTAGACTTCAAGCCTCCAGAACTATAAAAAATAAATGTCTGGTGTTTATAAGCCCCCAAGTCTGTGGTATTTTGTTTTAGCAGCCCAAGCAGACTAAAAAAACTTGGCTACACCGAACTGTCTCCAAACACTCCTTTCTTCATTCTGCAAAAGGTAAAATCGGTGCCTTAAAACCTCCCTCAGGGCATTGTCTTTGGCGTGAACACCCACACTCTGCATGAACTATACTTCTGTGCAGTATCACTTCCTGGGCTCTGCCACTTCCTAAGAGTCTGTCACTCTCAGAATCTGTTAACTCAGACCTTCCCTCCTGATGATGAAAGCACACTGCTCATGTCTTCTCCTGACAAGTCTGAATCCTTAGTACAGGTGCCCCCTACCACCCTGCCAATAGACATGCCTATGTTCTCACACCTCCTAGGGGAACCCAGGTGAGCTCTATTTGTAACCTACGGCTTTAGATGTTCTTCGCTCCTTTAAGCTGATCCTGTTGGGGATGCCCTCCCTCTGCCACCCTGGTCTCTCCCATCTTCTAGAGCAGGGGTGTTAAACTCATTTTCACTGGGGGCCACATTAGCCTCACGGTTGCCTTCAAAGGGCCAAATGTAATTTCAGCTCCTTAACAGTTAAGGAATAGTTGCATTTATACAGTCCTAAAATTATTACAGCCCTTTGAAGGCAACTGAGAGGCTGATGTGGCCACTGAAGAAAATAAGTTTGACACCCCTGTTCTAGAGCAAGCCCTTCCCTAAACCTCTGCTTGCAGGTGTTCTAGAAACACATATGACACTACTCTCACAAGACTAGTTTCTAGGTCTTCTGACAAACTTTTCATTGAGTTTTTAAAATTAATGTATTTATAAAAAGTAAGAAGCACATTATTGACAATAGCCAAAAGACGGAAACAACCACAGTGTCCACTGACAAATGAATGGTTAAAAAATGTGATCTATACAATGGAATATTATTCAGCCCTAAAAAGGAAATTCTGACACATGCTACAACATGGATGAGCCTTGAGGACGTTATGCTAAGCAAAATGAGCCAGTCACAAAAAGACTGTATGATTCCACTTATGTGAAATACCTAGAGCAGACAACTTGATAGAGAAAGTAGAATGGTGGTTATCAGGGCTTGGGGGATAGGGAGGAATAGGGACTTGTTATTTAATGGGGAAAGAATTTAGGAAGATACAAAAGTTCTGGCCCTGCCCTGACCAGGTTGCTCAGTTGGCTGGAGCATCATCCCACAGGCCAAATGTTTGCAGATTCAATCGCTGGTCAGGGCACATATCTCATGGGTTAGATCCCTGGTTGGGGCATGTACGGGAGGCAGCCAATAGATGTTTCTCTCTCCCTCCTTCTCTAAAATCAATAACATATCCTTGGATGAGGATTGAAATAAAAAAGTTCTGGCCCTGGCTGGGTAGCTCAGTTGGTTAGAGTGTCATCCCAAAACACCAAGGCTGTGGGTTTGATTCCTGGTCAGGGCATATTCAAGAAGCAACCAATGGATGTATAAATAAGTGAAACAACTCTCCCTCCGCCCCCCTTCCCTTCCCTCTTTCCCTCCCTCCCTTGCTATAAAATCAATAAATAAAAATTTAAAAAAGAATCCCCTTGATGGATAGTGGTAATGGCTGCACAACACTGTGAATGTATTTAATGTCACTGCATTGTACACTTATAATGGTTAAAATGGTAAAGTTTAAGTTATGTATATTTTACCACAATAAAATAAATAAATAAATAAACCCAATGGGGAAAAAAGTAGCAGCATAAGGATTATGGAAAAAGGAGGATTCATCCACTTCAGGGCACCTCTCTCTAGGACACCAACTTTATTCATAAACAGCCCTTTGGAGAAATTCTCCCTTTCCAGGACATTGTCTCCTGTGACCACGGTATAAGCAAGTGCCAAATCCCTTGAATCCCTATGGCCTCTTTGTTTACTCTGGGAACAAGTGTTTGGATCTGAAGAGCTGGCAGAGTTCAAGAGCTCAGTTTTACGTGATGCATAATTCATACTTCCTTTCATATGACATTTCCCAAAAAACAATATGCTTTTACATACACATGTTCATTTCACCAGTCATGTAAGTGGAAGAAAAAGGCTTGGCAAATCTAAGTGACACATTCAGGTCACGGGTCTGGAGAATGACAGAGCTGGGAACAAAGCCATCCCTTGGTCTTAGCTGGGTACAAAGTCCATTCCTTTCGTTTTTCTTTGAAGCTGTCTCAGATCTGACTAAACCCAAGTCACCCCTGAGGCTAAGGTAGGTGCTTGGGGTTCCTCTAGCGGGCTCTGCTCTTATCTGGTCCCAGATGAGTTTCTGGATCCAAGAATAACATTTAGAGAGGTCTGCCTCACACTTCTGTTTCACTGGGTATTTAGGAATTGTGACTGTATTGGTCACGTTTGTATTCTGGCAGGTGGCAGCTGCTTTAAAGAGATGTATTGCAATTGTGCAAAAAAGTATATAATACCAGAATGGGAGAAAATATTGGCAAGTCATACATCTGGTAAGGACTTGATTCCAGAGTATATAAAGGACTCCTACAACTCAAAAAGAGACAATAAAAGGGCAGAGGTTTTGAATATCCACTTCTCCAAAGAAGATACACAAATGGCTAATAAGCACATGGCAAGATGCTCAGCATCATTAGCCATCAGGGAAATGTAAATCAAAACCACAACAAGATACCACTTCATATCCACTATCATGGCTATAGTTAAAAAAAAAAAGGTAAGTGTTGACAAGAATGTGGAAAAATTAGAACAATCACACACTGCTGGTGGGGATGTAAAATGAAGCAGACCATATGGAAAACAGTCTATCAGTTGCTCAAATGGTTAAACACTGAGTTACCATACAACCCTCCTAGGTATATACCCGAGAAAAATGAAAACACATGTTTGCAGAAGAACCTGTACACGAAAGTTTATAGCAGCATTATTCTTTTTTGTTTTGTTTTACTAACTCCTTTTATAGCAGCATAATGGCCAAAAAGTGGATTACCAAAAGTTGGGGTTACTAACAACCCCAACGTACATCAACTGATGAATGGATAAACAAAAGATGATCATCCATACAATATTAATACATTGTTCACCCATAAGAGCATATGGTAATGATAATTTCTGCAACATGGAGGGACCTCAAATATATTGTGCTGAAGAGGAGGGTGTTCAAGGGGCACAGGGCTGGGGAGTGACTGCTGATGGTGATGGGGTTTCTTTTTAGGCTATTGAACATATTCTGAAATTAGATTGTGGTGATGGTTGTGCCACTCAGTGAATATAGATATTAAACTATTGAATTTTATGGTATGTGAAATATGCCTTAATAAAGCTATAATAAATAGCACTTTTGTTTTAGAAATGTGGGAGAAATTTCAACACTGTCTATTGGATGGTATTAGGGAGTTATTGTTAATTTTGTTGGGAGTGACGATGGTATCCTAGGACAGGTTTTACAAGTCCTTGTCTGCTGAAGATGGATAATGCTTTTCAGAGAACTCTGCTAGGTCCACACCCTCCTCCATCATCTATGCATGAATGCTCCCCCATTCCCTGTCTCTCTGAAGGTAACAGAGGACCAAGTACCTGAATAGGAGTCATCCCAGCCCACTATGGGTAAGTACATACCCAGAAAAGATAGGGCAAACCCAGAAAAGATAGTAAAACTTTCAGGCTGCTCCATGGGAGAGGGCTGCACACAAGAGGAGAAAGATTATTTTCTTACATGGGTAGCTGACTGCAAGCCAGTGTTTTGTGCTGAGACCTTCTACTGGAACCAAGCATGAGTGAGGGAGATGGGGAACCTACATCTGAAGAACTGAGATTACAAATGTTGTTGGACACTCAGGAGACTTCCTCCAGGTTTTTAGACACTCACAGACACTCATCACCTTATTTGCCAAAGGAAACCTGGACTGGGTCAGGGAGGCAGATGACCCTTTGGGAATGAGTGCTAGTCGGTGTGTAGGTTTATGTATGCCTACAAGTTGTCAGAGAACACTGTGCAGAGCTGGTAACTTGTGAGAGGGGAGAGAGAGAGCAGGGAATGGGGAGTGGCAGGTACTAAGGGCAAAGACTTGGAAGGCAGGGACACAGGTGTGTGCACTTGACCCTGTGTTGCAAGGAGAATCACAATATTCTTGGGAGTGGGGTGGGTAACAAGAGCACAAGCTACGGCCCTGAGGTGACTGGCAGTGACTTTAGAATATTGATGCTTTGGGAGCAATGCTATCTACCCATTTTCTGCTTGAGGTAGTGTGCGCCCATCTACCAGAAGTTTTCTCTAAACTGAAAGATCAGCTGGCTTGCCCAGGGTGACTAAAGATTGTATACTGACTGGGTTTTAATTTCCTCTTTGACAGTTGAAGAGTAGGATTAGATGATCTCTCAGGCCTTGTTCCAGGACTTTAACATTTTATATATTTTGTCATTTTTAGAAACTTCATTTTGGCTTAAGTTACATATCATACAGTTAACTCATTTTAATGATTTTTAGTAAATGTACCAAAATAATCCAGTTTCAGAACGTTTTCATCACCCCATTTTGTTGTTCTTAAAGCTACTGGCTTAAGTAAGAAAGGAGACTAGTAAGGATTCCCTTTGACTCCCCTTAGCAGTCTACATCCACTGCTTGCTTCTTGTAGCTTTGCCCTGTTGCTCGGGCAGGGTGGCAGCAACTGTGTAGATCTTCTTTTGCTAAAACAAGGGTGCTTTGGTATAAAGATATCCCTCAACGTGTGTGTGTGTGTGTTGATTTAGTAAAAGCACTGTGTATATAATTATCTGGAAACCCTCTCCTTGCACAAACATGTTCATACCATACCCTCCCTTCATGCATTCTTTGTTATGAATAGCTAGGAATTACAGAAAGAAGGGGATTTATACGCCAATGAACTTATGCTTTGACATTCTTGTGGCTCACCCATCTTTATTAGGAAGCATATGCATGATAAAGATTGTCTGGTATGACAGTAAATGTATAACTATATATAGGATATACCTTTGAGGATAAATAAAGCAGTGCAGGAAAGATTTAACATGGGGTGGGGGCACCTGCAGGATCATCCTGATTCTCCCTCAGTAGTTACACCCTGCTCTCCAGCAGAAACCCCAGTTCCCTTTCAACCAGTACTCAGACCTGCCATTTCTTCACCTCATCTGTGCATAGTCACGTCCCCACCAGCTTCTTCTGGAAGTCCGTGAAATGTACACCGTTATTCCTCAGGGACCTCTTGCTTTCCTTATAAGTCACACAGACTGGGATTTACCATAAATGCAAGTAAGGTAAAGGAGAAACGCAAATACCTTCCTTCTGAACAGAAAGACCAAAGCTCTGCTTTCAGTCCCCATGGTGAAGTCTGTGATGCTGGTGGAGGTTTGAGCTCTGGCGAAAGCTTTTCCCACACTGGCTGCACTGGTATGGCTTCTCTCCAGTGTGGATCCGCTGGTGCAGTTTCAGAGTTGATTGCCGCCCAAAGCAGTTCCCACACTCTCCACACGTGTAGGGTCTCTCCCCTGTGTGGACTCGCTTGTGTCTTTTCAGCTCTGAATTCCATGTGAAGCTTTTCCCACAGTCATCGCATTTGTAAGGTTTCTTCACCAAATGGGTTGGCTGGTGACTAAGACGTTGTAAACGATTGCTTCTTTTACTTCCTTTGCTTTTCTTTAGCTCTCTCAGTGGATGGCTTTTTAGGTTGCTGATGTATTCCAGTTCTCTGCAATATTTCTGGAAGTGAGTGAATGGCTTTTGAGCATTTGGGGGACTGACTTGCCTCTGTGACAACCGGGATTCATTTGTATTTGCCCCTCTTGGTTCAGGACTCTGCAGACCATTCCCTTTGGACCTGTTTGGTGACACTACACATGGTTTTGCTCCTTTAGCTCCCTCCTGTTGTGGATTCTCCTTGTTCTCACTTTTCATTCTGGGGGCTTCTATAATTAGAAAGAAATATGTTTCATTTTCTGGGCTTCAAAGAAAGAACCTCAGCAAAGAGTTATGAAATATACTGCAAGGTTTCTCAAAGTGTGGTTCTCTATTGGCAACTTGCATTAGACTCATCTGGGGCACTTGCCAAACAAGTAGGCTGCTGAGTCAGAATCTCTGAGGGGGTGCAGTGGGAACTGGAAATGTGCGCAGTTAACAGTCTCCTGGTGTGATTCTGATTTATATTAAAGTTAGGAACCAAGTTCTTTAACCCTCTCACCCTTCCTAAATTTAGGAAAGGTTTAGGGAAGAAGAAATAGGGAAAAGAAAAACCATAAGGCCTGAGTCTCAACTAAGGAATGAAAAGAGAGTTGGAATTTCAACATTGCAAGTATATTCTCTCTTCATGGACACTCAATGACCACCACCATCTCTTCAAATAATGGCAAATCCAGTGAATGTGGAATTTTCTTTCCTTATAAAATTGCCAGCATTTGTGTTTGGAAACTGGAATATGGGTTAGATGTACATCCTATTTACAGAAAGGGGTGGTGACCACTGGGGTTGAGCATCAGGATGGAGATGAGCTGCAACGGCCTGTGGGCAAGTAGAAGATCTAGAACTGTGCTATCCTGTAGAATTTCTGAGGTGGGCAGCATGTGTATGGCATGTGCGCATGCATGCACACGCTATTTAATATGGCAGCCACCAGCCACATGTGACTATTGGATACTTGAAACATGAGTAGTGCTGACTGAGAAAGTGGATTTTAAACTTTTAATTAATTTGAATAAGCAGCCCACAGAATTATGGTCAATTGTTTTCCAACAAGGTTGTCAAGACAATGAAATGGAGACAGAACCATATTTTCAATGAATGGTACTGGGACAATTGCATTTCCAGATGCAAAGGATGAAGTTGGACTCCTTCTTCACAACATATATAAAAATTAACTCAAAATGGATCGAAGACTTAAATGTAAGAACTAAACCAATCTCTCTTTGAACAAAACATAGGGGTAAATCTTTGGGACTTTGAATTAGGCGGTGGTAATTTAAGTACGGGACCAATAACACAAACAAGCAACAACAAAAAAATAAATTAGGCTTCATTAAAATTAAAAACATTTGTACTTGAAAGAATACTATTAAGAAAATAAAAATACAACTCCCGGAATAAGAGAAAATACTTGTAAACTCTATATTAGGATCTAGTGTCCAGAATATTTAAAGAACTCTTTCAACAATAAAAAGACTAACCCAGGACTTCTAGCCAAGATTGAGGCATAGGTAGACACACTGTGCCTCCTCACACAACCACAATAAGGACAACAACAATTTAGAAACAAAATAACAACCAGAACTGACAGAAAATTGAACTGTATGGAAGTATGACAACCAAGGAGTTAAAATAGACACATTCATCCAGACCAGTAGATGGGGCAGGATCAGGCGGCATCGGGTGGTCAGGCGGTGAGGTGTCCCAGAAGCTGTAGCACTAGACACATGAGGTGGCAGCTGACAAACCCCAAGCATGCAAGTCAGCAGTGGGCAGACCCTTGGTGCGCAGGCAGCAGCTGGCAGACCCCAGGGCATGGGGTGGCAATGGGCAGACCCAGTGAGGCGGCAATTGTGAAGTGAGGCACTGCATGCAAGGCAGCTAGCTAACCACATGGTACCACATTCATGCACAGATAAACCAGGTGAAAATGGGGAGAGAGACAGACTGTGCAACACAGGGCCCCAGGGTGGGGAAATAAAGCCTCAAAATACCGACCGAAAACACCTACCAGGTGTTGAGGTACCAGGAGAGGCTCCCAACCTCACAGGAGAGTTTGTTGGAGAGACCCACAGGGTCCTAGAATGTATACAAGCCCACTCCCCAGGAATTAGCACCAAAAAGGCCCAGTTTGCTTGGGGGAAGTGCGAAAAAGACCGAAATCCAACAGAGAGCAGAGCAAGCGCCATTGTTTCCTCTCGGACCCCACCCCCACATACAGTGTCACAACCCAGCGACTTGGGTTGCTCCACCCAGGGGAACACCTAAGGCTCCACCCCTCATACGTAATAGGCACAACGAGACAAAAAAAAAAATTGCCCAAAAAGAAGAACAGATCAAAGCCCCAAAGCAAATACTTTTAAGCGACCAAGGGATAGCCAACCTATCAGATGCACAGTTCAAAACACTGGTGATCAGGACTGATTGAATTTGGTCACAAATTAGATGAAAAAATGAAGGCTACACTAAGTGAAATGAAGGGAAATACACAGGGAACCAATAATGATGGGAAGGAAACTGGGACTCAAATCAATGGAGTGGACCAGAAGGAAGAAAGAAACAACCAAACAGAAAAGAATGAAGAAACAAAAATTCAAAAAAATAAGGAGAGGCTTAGGAACCTCCAGGACATCTTTAAACGTTCCAACATCTGAATTATGGGGATACCAGAAGGGAAGAGGAAGAGCAGCAAGTGGAAAAGTTATCTGAACAAATAATAAAGGAGAACTTCCCCAATCGGGCAAAGGAACTAGTCTTCCAGGAAGCTCAGAGAGCTCCAAAGAAGGTAGACTCAAAGAGGAACACACCAAGGCACATCATCGTTACATTAAGGAGAGAATCCTAAAAGCAGCAAGACATAAGGAGACAGTAACCTACAAAGGAGTAACCTACAAAAGAGACCTTACAGGCAAGAAGGGGCTGGAAAGAAGTATTCCAAATCATGAAAGACAAAGACCTACATCCAAGATTGCTCTATCCAGCAAAGCTTTCATTTAGAATGGAAGGGCAGATAAAGTGCTTCTCAGATAAGGTCAAGTTAAAGGAGTTCATCATCATTAAGCCCTTATTATGTGAAATGTTAAGCTTTCCACCTCCCATCCCCCTGTGCTCCTGCAGACGACGGGTTAACCCAGGATTGGATCTAGTGAGCGACTGAGCAACCCACCGGGTGAGCGACTGCAGAGGAGACAGTGGGGAGGCGGTGCTGCGTGTTGACTGCGGTTGCCTAATTGCGCGCGAGCGAGGGAGTGGGCGGTTGGACCAGCCGCGGCGGCGATAGACGGCGGCGGCCAAGGCGATAAAGGGCGCCGCCATTTCCCCACTCTGACCACGCCCCCACATACAGCGTCACAACCAAGCGACCTGGGACTCCAAGGTGCCGCTTCTCCCACTTAAAGGGCCAGAACAGACCAAAAATGTCGCAGGAAGACCTCAAAGCCCCACAGATAAATCTAAGCGACGAAGAAATAGCAAAACTCTCAGACGCTCAGTTTAAAACACTGGTCATCAGCTTCCTCACAGATCTGGTTGATTATAGCCACAAATTAGAGAAACATATGAAGGCTAAATTAAGGGAAATGAATGGAATTCCACAGGAAACCCATAGAGATGAAAAGGAAACTGGGACTCAAATCAATGGAGTGGACCAGAAAACCAAATAATGGCCAAACAGAAAAGAGTCAAGGAGCAAGAATTCAAAGAAATGAGGAGAGTCTTAGGAACCTCCAGGACATCTTTAAACGCTCCAATATCCGAATTATAGGGGTACCAGAAGGGGGAAAGACACAACCACCAGTGGAAAAACTATTTGAACAAATAATAAAAGAAAATTTCCCCCAATCTGGCAAAGGAAATAGACTTCCAAGAAATCCAAGAAGCCCAGAGAGTACCAAAAAAGTTGGACTCAAGAAGAAACACACCAAGGCATATCATAATTACATTAGCCAAAATTAAAATGAAGGAGAGAATCCTAGAAGCAGCAAGAGCTAAGGGGACAATCACCTACAAAGGAGTCCCCATCAGACTGTCAGCAGATTTCTCAAAAGAGACCTTACAGGCAAGAAGGGGCTGGAAAGAAATATTCCAAGTCATGAAATCTAAAGACCTACAACCAAGATTGCTCTATCCAGCAAAACTTTCATTTAGAATTTAAAAAAGAAAAAAAAAAAAAAAAAAAGGAGCAAAGATGGGGGTGAAGAGGGGGGGGAGGGGGATAGAAAAATATTAAAATGTTAAAGGGACTTATCTAAGAAACAGAAGATAAAAAACATGTATAGTAAAATGACAGCAAACTCACAATTACTAACAACCACATCTAAAACAAAAATAAAAACAAACTAAGGAAACAGCTAGAAGAGGAACAGAACCACAAAAATGAAGATCACATGGAGGGTTAACAACAGGGGAGTGGAAGGAGGAGAAGGGAGAAAAGGTACAGAGAATAAGTAGCATAGACAGTGGGGAGAAAATAGACAGGGGGAGGGCTAGAATACTATGGAAAATGTAGAAGCTAAAGAACTTATGACACATGGACATGAACTAAAGGGGGGGGAATGTGGGTGGGAGAGGGTGTGCAGGGTGGAGGGGAATGAAGGGGGAAAATGGGACAACTGTAATAGCATAATCAATAAAATATATATTTTTTAAAAAGACTAACATCAATTTAAAAGTGAGCAAAGGGACTGAACATTTCTCCAAAGAATACATACAACTGGCCAAAAAACACATGCAAGGATGCTTAACATCATTAGTTATAAGGAAAATAACTCAAAACTTCCATGTGATACCACTTCACACATAAAGAATGGCTATAATCAAAAAGACCAACAATAACAAGTATTATCAAGGATGTAAGGAAAGTGGAATCCCCATAGACCATTGGTGGGACCGTCAGTGGGAATGTAAAATTACACAGCTGCTTTGGAAAACAGTCTGGCATTCCCTTAAAAGGTTAATTGTAGGCCCTGGCTGCTGCGGCTCAGTGGACTGAGTGCAGGCCTGTGAAGCAAGGGATCGTTTGATTCCCAGGCAAGGCACACGCCTAGGTGGCAGGCCAGGTCTCCTAATGGAGGGCACGCAAGAGGCAACCACACATTGATGTTTCTCTCCCTTTCTTTCCCCCCTCCCTTCCCCTCTAAAAATAAATAAAATCTTTAAAAAAAAAGTTAATCGTAGTTACTGTGTCACCCAGCAATGCCACTTTGTACCCAAGAAAAATGAAAGCATGTTCACAGAAAAACTTGTAAACAAATATTCAAGTAAATAGCCCTAAGTGGAAACAACGCAAATGTCCGTCAATTAATAGACAAAATGTCCAGTAATATAATATCATTTAGCCATGAAAAAGAATAAGGTACTGACACACACTACATCATGGGTCAACCTTGAAAACATTATGTTAAGTGAAAGAAGCCAGTCACAGAATATCACATATTGTATGTTTCTGGACAATGAAATGTCCACAACAGGCAAATCCAGGGACAGAAAATAGACAGTGGTTTCCAGAAACTAGAGAGGGAGGTATGGAGAGTGACTACTAATGAGTATGGGTTTCTTTTCAAGGTTATAAAAATATTCAGAAATTAGTGGTGGTTGTACAACTCTGCAATTATGCTAAAAAACACTGTATTTATACTAAAATTCACACTTTAAAAGGGTAAATTTTATAGTATGTGAATTATATCAATAAATACAATTTAAATAGTTGCATGTGGCAACTGTGTTGGTCACTGCAGCTCTGAAAGAAGGCACTGTTGGATCTTAGGGATGAGAAGCATGAGAATGTACTCTCTCAGGAATCAAATCAAAAGAGATAGAGAATATACATATACCCACTTGCCTCTACTGAGGCAGAAGGGTGTATGCACGGTCCACTTTATTCAGGACCATGAAAGCTACAGATATGGGGCAGTTCTCCATTCCTGAGTTCTGAGAATAATCAAACCTAATTGTTTCGCTGAATGTAGCAAATATGAAGGGATCAAGGCTCTAGCCTCCTTGTAACCAACTTTCTTCTCTAGCCTGCCAACTGTATTCTGTATTCACATCACCAAGACTGGCTAAAGTGTCGCTGCCATTCAGTTTTAGGAATCACAGGGCTGTGTGGAATAGGGTTGACTGTGATCCTGGCATCGTAACAGAGATAGGAAGGGACGTGGACACAAAACTGTACAGCACAGAAAATATTGCAGGAGAAAGAGGCAGAAAATAATACGGAGTGGGCTTTTTCTCTCATGAGAAGGACATTCTTTAGGTACTTTCTCAACATGGGACCAATTTAAGTGATGAAACTCAGCTATATCTTGCATGGAAGTTCATCAGTGGTCATATTTGGATCTGTCTACTATAGGAAGCTCTGAAAGGGATAGAAAAGCAGGCAGTAGAATAGTCCTATTGTGTAGTGCATTGTCAAATAGTCATTAAGAGAAAACAAAAACATACTTCTTATGTGTTGCATCATTACCATTCTTGTTAGTGAAATTTGTTAGGGAACAAAGATCTATCACATACAATATTTAAAATAAACTCAACACCTGGTGTACAGCTTCTCAGAACCACGAATGCTTTGATGGAGATAGAGGACTGATGAGAAGAAAGGAGGCACAGAGTATTTACCTGTCCCAGCCAATTTGGTGGGTGGTTCCAGAAGGAATGGGGATTTTTCCCAATGATGGGTGCTAAGCTCGTCCTGAGGTCCTGCCTGGGAAGGCTCCTCCAGACAAGTTTCCCTAGGATATCTCCTAGGAGTTTGCAATTGAAAGTCTGGCAGTTCCTGTTCTCCAAGCTGAGATCCAGTTTTCTCCAAGAGCACCTTCTGCCCCTGCATGCAAACGGCCACCTAAAAACAAGCCCCATGAATTAGAGTACACCCAGAGAACTGACTGAAGGCAGCTTGACCTCTCTCTTTTGACCCCTTTATCCTGGAATTCCTGATAACAGCATACAGGTCAACTTTGATAGACACTGCTGAAACTCTCAAAGGAAGCACATGGAGAATAACCAGAATGAAGCTGCTTCAAGTACTTGAGTGGATACTCCTAAAGCTTGGGCCTTGCTCAAGGCCTGTAGTCAAAGTCATCAGAGAGCAGACACAGACATTAGGGTTAGCCATGACTGGCTCAGCAGATTCCCACCTTATGCCCAACTGTCTTCCTACTTCTGAAAACAGGCTCTGTAGGACTGGAAAGCAACAAAAACCACTTTTATCTAATAAATTGTTCTTTCCCAAGGGTCTCCTGGTAAGGACATCCAAGTAGTAGCAGGGGTCTAAGAGGACTGCCCCACTCCTGTTCCCTGCTTCCATTCCCAGAAGCACACAGTTGTGTTCTTCGTGCTTAGGGCTGGACTTTGGTTTGACTTGGGGGGGTGAGGGGTTGGAAGGAATATTAGTCAAATGAGCTGTGAGTTACTGATCCAAAGGTAATATGCAAGACAATTCACTGGAATAAGATCCAATGAAGTTCCCCCAAAACCAAATTCCTACCCAGCAGGTAAGAATCCCAATTGTAGGAAAACTTCAAGAGGAATGGATAGGCAGAGATCTTTCAACAAAGAATCAATAACTTTACTCTTTCTTCTACTTCCTCATTGGAGTGCCAGTGAGGAACTGGGTTTTCTGAAAAGCTGGTACATCTGGGGGAAGGAGGGCTGTACCCAAAAATAGGGACCAGAAGACATGTTTGAAGCCATTGGTCCATTTCTGGGCTCTATCTAGGGAGGGGTCCAGAGACCAAACACTACCCGGATGAAAAAGAAATCTTGGGGACCATTAGAGAAGACCCTCCTTACCCACTGCTTTGGTCTCTTGGCTGCTCTGTGAAAATCTTCCACCAGAGTCACCATCTCCTTGCTGTTCATTGGACATCGATGCCTGACCCGAGCCTGGATCTCTGGGGGCAGGATGTTCAGAAACTGCTCCAGCACCAGTAGCTCCAAAATCTGCTCCTTGGTGTGCACCTCAGGCTGCAGCCACTGCCAGCAGAGCTGTCGGAGACGGGAGAGTGCCTCTTGGGGTCCAGACACTTCTTGATAACAAAACCGTCTAAAGCTCTGGCGGGACACCTCAGGATCTGGGCAGTCTTTTCGCAGAGATGCTCCCCGTTTTTCTTCTAGCTTTGCTATGATGTGTCTCTCTTGCTTTGAGGAAGCCTGAATGTGGGACTGAGAGCTCAAAGTTATCTCCATCTTAGCTGCCATTTTGGGGGCTCAGGAGGAAGCCTCTCTCTCCTTGTAAACAGCTCAAGCCTAAGGGATCATGGCCCTGAAGAAGTCTTTCCGACTTCTGGAAAGATGCTAGAAACGAAGTTCTTCTGAGGATGTTGAGGAGAGGATGCAGATCGGGTCTAATTAAGTTACCCAATACAAAATTTCTACCCAAAAGGACAGGGTCTTCTCATTCGTTGGCCTTGACCCCAAACTCTTGAAGATGACACAGTCCACGGCAATGGAAAGAATTTATCTTTCCGTCAGTTTCTAGAACTGTCCTGTGAAGGGGAAGAGTCATAACGCCCTAAAAGGAAACTGGGGAAAATACTGCTTTTATTTCGGCAATAAGCACACGAAGTCTCCGGGGTGGGGGGCTGGATGCGCAATATGACCTAAGGGGCTGACAGGAATCCCTACGAAAAGTTCAAGCTGTCAGCCAGGTACACTGCACCAACTGTTCGGCATTCTGGTTAGGCAGACCTCCGGCATCTCGCCGCGAACTGCAGGAGGATCTCAGGCAGGCCGCGGCGCACTCCGGGGGCTGGGAGTTAGCAAAAGCCTCCGGCTCACAAGCAGGATGGTGGGAGGCACAGTGGCAGTTTATTCCAGGAGATCCGAAGGCCCAGCCGCTCCAGCCTCGGAGAGAGCCAGTCTTGGGCCCCGGGCTTGGCAAAACTCCAGCACTTGGCTCAACTTCCTGGCCGAGTGCAAGCCCGCGCTGGCCCCTAGTAAGGCAGAGTCGCCGACAGCCCACACCCCGTGCCCACCTGCAGCGGACTCACCTCTCAAGGGACCAGGAAACCAGAACCCTGGAGCCAGGGCTAGGGGCGGGGCAAAAGCCGCTCTACGCGGACACTCCCACTGGCTGCGGAGGAACTACGCCACGGGAGAGCCCGCCTATCCCCTAGAAGGATTGGCTCTTCCAGGACAGTTTCATCTGTCTATTGGTTGCTGTATCTGTCAATGCTGGTGAGGAACGGTGCCCAGACGTCATAGTGCACCCCGGGAGTCGTAGTCCGGTGTCAGGGCCTGCAAACTGACTAGGGCAAAGAACCCACCAATGCTGCGGCTAGCGCTCTGGCAGACGGCCCCGCTGCTACACGAGTTTGGAGAGTCGTGAGCGCGTGTGTCTGACGAGTGCCCTACTTGCTCCGGGCCGGGGGCGCGCAGCTGGGCCCCACACGGGCCTGCGTGCCCTTTGCCGCCAGACTCTTTTTAGGGCGCTCGGTCCAGGCCCGGGAGGCTCTGGCATGCTCCGCGCTCACCTTTCTGCGCCCCGGTGCCCTGGCTCTATCAGAGATAACCAGTGCTGTTCCGATCTGTGCGCCCGAATCCGGACTCCTTCTGGCCTTTGACCCTGATCGTCTCTTGCGGCAGCGGGAGCCTGCGGGTGTTTTCCTACGCCACTTCAGCCACAGTACCGAACCTTAGCATCCAGTGCTCTAGGAGTACTCACTGAGTGCATCATTGCCGAGTGAAAGTGAATCAGTCTGGTCCCCATTCTCATCCTGCTTTCCACTGAGTGGATCGTCGCTTGAGGGAAACACGTTTTTGAGAGACCAGAATTTTAAAATTAAGTATGAATGGAATGGGATGTCAGAGGTTCAGAGGAGTGTTGGCTCCGCCTTCTTCATGAAACTAGCATTTGCAGGCTAGGTCCCCAGCTGGGGGTGCGCAGGAGGCAACCGATTGATGTTTCTCTCTCACATCCATGTTTCTCTCCCTCTCTTCCTCCCTTCCCCTCTCTCTAAAAATAAATAAAATATTTTTAAAATAAACTAGCATTTATTATTCTTTTGGATAAAATGCTGGTGTGTGTAAACGTGTAAGGTAAGGGGGGGATGTGAGGCCTGCTCCTTTTTTGTTAAAAAGGACTGTTAACATCATCTTTTATTCCTCTATCTCTAGCCCCTACTGCCACATTGAAATGTAAAGAGAATATAAATGCAGTTCAAGTTCTTTGGAAGAAAGCCAGCCTGCATCTTTTTTTTTTTTTTTAATTCCTGTAAACAGGCTTATCCCTTTTGTGGAAGAGAAGTGGAATGTTGAGTGGGACATAATTAAAGATAGTTCCAGTCTTACATCTTCCCAATTTAGCAATTCACAGGAAACTTCTCCCACCCTACCTGTGTGTAAAATCTCAGAGAAGAATTTTGACAGGCACAGCCTTTTTCAGGTACCCACTCCTGGAGTAGTAGGTAGAAGAGTACTGTGCTGATGAATAATCCCACCACAGCCAATGGAATAGACAGGGGCTCTTTCAAAAAGGAAGATGTTGCTGCCATATCAGAAGTGGCGAAGGAATGCTGGGGAAGGAACCAACATACGGCCCGCCATAACAGTCATTTATCATCCAGATTTTATGTGATAGTGATGGTAGAGAGGAGGGTGTCACAGTAATAAAGAGGTTAATCGAGAGGCACTCATGTACTGTTATCTTCTTAAGAGAAGGTGGCAATTGGGAAGGTGGGTTCAGGCTTTTTGAGGGTGGGAAAGGGCAGGGACAAGACCCAGACATGGGGACCATGAGAAGGAACAGTTGGACTACACAGTAATGTGAGGAATTCCTTAGCAGAGAGAAATCTGGCTGGAAGAAAAGTATGTTTTTTGATATTTCTAGTGCTTTGGGTCCTTGGCTTGGATTGTTGGAGGGAGTAAAGGATAAAAATAAATCTCAAGAAGCAGAGGGAAGGAATATGGAATAGTTTATGCTATATTTTTCCCATTTTCCCTTCAAAGATGAGCCTTTTCCAACTGTGATTCTGCATGTCTGAGTCAATCTCAAGTCTCTGATTCCTTTCATTGGTATCCAGGAGAACTGCTTCCCAATAATATGAAAAGAAATAGGATTTAATCCTCGGGTGGAAGTGGCAACCAGTGAGCCAGTTCATGAAGTGAATAATGGCTGTAACAAAGAGTCCCCAAGCACACCCATCACCAAACAAGGACTCCACACAGGGACAGAAATTAGCTCTTCATAGCAACAGCCTTGGCTATGAAGCTTCTTCCCACTAATGATTCAGGCAGTTCTGCTGTCAGGAGGTAGCTGGCCCCCTTGAAGCTTTTAGCACACTCTTGGAACACAGCTGAGGCCTAAGACACACTCAAAAGAGCAAATCCTGGAGCTGCTGGTTTTGGAGCAGTTTCTCACCATCTTGCCAGAGAAGATCCAGACCTGACTACAGAAGCGGTGTCCAGAAAATAGTGAGAAATTTGCCCTGGATGGTGTGGCTCAGTGGACTGAGAGCTGGCTTGTGAACCTAGAGGCTGATCATTCAGTTCCCACTTAGGGCATGTGCCTTGGTTGCAGGCCAGGTCCCCGGTTGGGAGCATGAAAGAGGCAACCAATCCATGAATCTCTTGCCCACTGCTGTTTCTCTCCCTCTCTTTCTTCCTCTCTTCCTCTCTCTGAAAGTAGATAAAACCTAAAAAGGAAAAAAGAAAATGATGAGGAAGCTGTGCCCTCTGGTTGAGGGTGTACAAAGAATACCTGGGCAACAGTTGAGAAAAGGAAGCCAGAATCTTCTGGTTTTGGTAATAAGAAGTTGGGGTGAGGAGCACAGGAATCTAGCTACTGGTCACACTAGCTCTGTGCCATTCACCAAAATACTAGGTAGCTTGAGTTGGTCCTGTGCCCTAAGTCTATGGGAAGATTTTCACATTTGCTGAAATAACTTGGACATTCATATATTTAGTGAATGTTTAGAGTCTCTAATTAAAATTAAAATACTCAAAACAGTTCTCTAAAAAAATACTCTGCCTGTGGCCCAGAATGAGTATGAATGCGGCCCAACACAAAATCGTAAATTTACTTAAAATATAAGATTTTTAAGTGGCAATGATATACCAGCTATTAGGGGGGTTGTTTTTTATTTTATTTATTTTTTATCCTCACCCTAGGACATGCTTATTGATCTTAGACCAGGGACTGAGCCCACAACCCAGGCATGTGCCCTGACTGGGAATCAAACCCTCTACCCCTTGGTCCATGGGACAACATTCCAACCAAGTGAGCAACATTGGCCAGAGCAATATTGGGGAATTTATATTGAACTAGACAGGCATGGCACCTGGCCGACTGGACCCTGCATTCCTTGGAGGAAACACAATATGCAAATGAATAAAGATACAGATAAGTGCTCTGAAAGAATGAGCAAGGTGATCTAATAGAGGATGACTGTGGGGGAGTCAGGTAGTAGGGAAAAGAAAGTCCTCAGAGGGGATGTTAGTGCTGAGATGTGAGAAGGACCTGGCTGTGCCTGGAGCAGAGAGGAGAGCACTGCAGCTCTAGGGCACAGCACGCTCCAAGAGCCTCAGGTGGGGAGGACTTTGATGTTTGATAAGGAAGGGAGGGTGTGTGGCTACAGCTTTCAGGACCAAGGAGAAAAATGATGAGACAAAGTGAGAGAAGAAGGCAGGGGCCATGTCATGCAGGGCCTTTCAGGCTGTTAGAATAATTTGGGTTTTATTCTGTGCGCAGTGGGAAATCACTGAAGAGTGATTAACAGGGATGGAAGTGATGTTACATTTTTTAAAGATCTACTGGCTTTTTTGTAGAGAGAAAATGGATTAGACTTGCAGGAGGGTCCAACTCATAGCCCATGGGCTGCATGCAGCCCCAAGACAAAATCATAAATTTACTTAAAGTATTATGAGTTTTTTGTGATTATGTGTCACAATGTATTTAATACATGGCCTAAGACAGCTCTTGTTCTTCCAGTGTGGCCCAGAGATGCCAAAAGCTCGGACACCCCTGGAGAGGGTCCAGCAGCAGAGAGGATGCAGGGCAGACAGTTAAGCTGCAATGACAGTAGTTCAGACAGGCTGGAGAGTACAGAGAGAGAATGAGGAGCAATGTAGGGGTTCTTCTGAAAGTGGAATGGATTGCACTTTGTCATGTATAAATTTGCGGGGAGAGGAAATGGTAGTGGTGCTGAGATCACAGGAGCTTTCTCAAGTGGAAGCAGACACTCCCACTTCCAACACATGCATCACTTTTAGCACTTCTGGTGTGTCAGGCTCCATACTAGGTGCTTTCATATTGATGATTGGTTAAAGTGATTGAAACCAAATTCTATTCATTTTTATTTTTATTTTACAGTGGCCCTGAGAATATTTCTCTTCTTCTTCCCTATGTGTCACATTCTTTTCTAATGCTACTCTGAGGGCTTGTAAAGTGCAGCTACGGCAGGAATGTGTCATGACAGATGATGAGGTCTGGGTCCTGGGAAGGACTGAAAAGTGCTCTCAAAGAGACAGCCCCTTTGGGAACAGCCAGCGAATCACTGAGATTCCATCTGAAACAGAGAGTTCATCCCTAGAAACAGACTTTGAAAGGGTCCTGGAGCTCAGGTAAGCAGAAGCCTGGGCCCTCACCTGAGGTGGGGCAGGAGCAATCGTCTGTAGGAAATGCAGGTCTGAACTTGAGTTTGCCCCTGGGTTCCAGATTAAATGCCTTTGAAATATGCCTAAAAAACAAGATTTCAAATCAGTTGATGGTAATAACACATAAGTAGAGTGGAGACCTGTTATGTGTTAGCCAAATTCTCTTTTATTACAATTTAATTCTATTATTTTGTATCAGTTGTATTAAGGTGGACATGTTTACAGTGACCTTCTGCAGTTCTTTATGTACTTAAAGACACTGAATAATTCGCCTGCCCATCTTAATCTCTTCCAGAATACATTCCTCCTATTATTTTCTTCTTTCTCCAAAGCTCTATTT